GACAACTAATGACAACGCATTCTGTTTCATACGTTTCCGATAACTTTGTCTCCATTTTCTCCTTCTTCTCGAGTGTAGAGAAGTATTTTTCTGTAGCCATCGCTTCGGCCTTTTCAACGCCGCTCTCATTAACCGACTTACGGCTCAACGCTTTACTTATGATATCGGCTCTCATTTTCTTCGCCCGTCGCTCTTCCCTGTCCTCTGCGTCCGCTTCGTCTTCGGGTGCGTCCGAAGCGCTCAATTCGGTGGCGATCTTCGATTTAATTCTCTCCAACGCTCTCTTGTTTTTGCTCTTTTTACTATCATTTGGGTCTTCGGCGGCAATAGGTTTTGCTTTTAATGCCTGAATCGCCCGTAATTTGGCGTCAGATTTATGGCTCAAATCAATCATATCTCCCGACTTATAGCCTTTGGCCAAAGCGGGTATCGAAAAGTTTGGTCTGTTATTAGTCTCACGTCTAACCGAATTGAACACATCTTTGGCCGAAATGGGGGCCGAGTTTTGAGCCATACTTGCCTTCACGTCAGCGCAAGTGAGCGCCAAATTCTTGGCCGCCTTTGAGAGCGGATTTTTCATCACTTTTGACAGAGATTTAGTCTCACTTTCCTTCTTCGCTCTCATATCACTTGATTTAAAGACTTTGGTCTCAACGAGCGGCGCGTCCCTACGCTCGCCGTCAGCGAAAGCGTTACAAAACATACCGGTGTTCGCCGAAGCGGTCGCGTACTTCTTGGGCTCCACGTTAGAGAACGAGGTCTGAATTTCGGCCCGTTTTGAGCTAAACTTCTTGTACGCGTTCTTTATGTGATACATACAGTAGTCCTCTTCAGCCAAATTGATTAAAGCGCCGCAAATCTCTTGATTCTTCTTCATGGCCTTACAATAGCCGAGATCTTTAGCGGTTCCCAACACTAGGAGTTTGGGCGCCGCGTCGATGGTCAGCGAACACAACTCGTTTTTGCCATACTTTGCGTGTGTGTCCCTGTCGTCGGCCATTATCCTTGGGTTCAGTAAACCGACGACAGAGCCGACCGTCAGTTTCCAGTGTTCGGCGTAAACGTCGCCGAAGAGGAAGAATGAGACCATATTTTTGGTCTTCAAATCACTTAACTTCCAAATTGAATACTGTTTCCCATTTTTGCTCACTTTTGGCGTTAACTTATTGATGACGACTCCAATGGTAACCCAATCGCCGTCGATATCATTGGATGTCTTATTGATCTTCGACTTAATTAAAGACATTTTAATCATTTGTCTGCCGGACATGAGTTCCCGCATTCGGTGACTAGAAATCAATGGATTTATTAAACGAATTCCAGAGAAAACGTCGCGAATCGAGTCGTCTATCGCTTTGTCTGCCGTCGAGTTCTTCGGTATGTTTTTAGACCAAATGTTTTTGTCATTTTTGCCATTGTTTTTGGTCTCAAACAACGAAATACCTTTCGATTCATTGGCACTGATCTTGAGATTTGACGCAATGAGTTGTCCCTCACGTGACAGATGTGTCTTCGCGTCGTCCATCTCATCGTCACTCATATCACCGAACAGTTCCTTCGCTTGGGATCTATTGTCGTCACCGTTTGTTGCGATGGTTTTGGCGGCGAATATATCTTCGTTATCGTCAATAAGTCTAAGACTAGTTTTGGTTGTGTTTGTCGTCACTTCTGGAAGAGAATCGGCGCCAACAGTGTCCACAATATCATCGTTTTCATCGTTAATCAGTGCCAGTATTTCATTGGCAAACAGATCCTCGTCGCCATCGGGGGTCACATTCACAGCCATTTCCTACTGATATCTGCGGAAATAAAACAATTGTCACTCAATGTAATGCATGTGTTGTATGGCGTGTCTTACAGACCGACTTTGGAAGTGTTGAATGAGTGGTAAAAGTGATGATAATATGAAGTGAAATGCAATCGTGTTTTGGTTAGCATTGAATGAGCGCTCAATTGATGCCAACTTTGTTTGTGTTTCACATTTGGAGCCAAACATCACTTGTATTGACTCACATCACAAACACTGTCTCTCATTGGCTCTACATTTCAATAGCATTCACTACATGAGTAGAGTGACCACATTTCAGCGCCAATATTAAAGTTTGGTAGAATTGACACATTTAGAGAATTTTACCAAAACAGTGAGTTTTTGTGTAAATTTTGAGCTAAAAAGATGTTTCATAAAATATAATATAAATTTATACAGTGTTCCCGATTATAACGAATCAATTTGTAAAGCGCCGATCATTTGATCATTTCTAAGGTGGAGAATAACACTATCTCTATATTTGCACATTTGTTCATGAGATGAATTTAAATGAATAATTTTTTATTATAAAATCTATTATCAGTTTTTAATTTTTTTTATAAAGTTTATTTTAAACTATTGCTTCTTTGATATACTCTTATGATTGGAACCATTTCTTTATCAAATATTGATTTCTTTATTCAAAACTTGGTTGAATATAGTAATTAACCTTGGTTACTTTATTATAAGCCAACACACGTTCCACATATTTGTTGAGAGAGTTCAGAATATTTGGAATAGAAATATGTTTACTATTAAGTATATATAGTTGTTTGCAATAAAGGGGTTCACTATTGATTCAATTGAATGGTTTAGTGGATAAGCAAATACATGGTTATATTGTTATATTGGTTCATATGATCCAAAATAGTTTGGCTTAAAAAAGCGAAGACATTTAAAGTGCATTATTATGTGTAATGAATGGACTGATAGAGAGGGGAGAACACAATGAAAGGGTGAGCGCATCACAAGAGCCAACAGCAGGTGGTTTTCTGGTCACTCTATAGTCATCGTATTCTTTGCCGCTAATTATATGTCTGATATATTCAGACCATTTCAATGTGAATAGCGTTTTGCGAAAGAACTTTTTCCAAGAAGTTCCTCCTTTTCCTCTCTCACCAGTCCTTTCACATCCCATCCCTTATTCTCTCTCAGCTATTAACTGATAGGAGAGAGAGAGAGAGAGAGAGAGAGAGAGAGAGAGAATCCATTGGAATTCAAGCGCAGGGCTATTACTGCTCGAAACATAAAAGAGAGCGGAGAGAGAGAGAGAGAGAGAGAGAGAGACCTTTCTCCCACTTTTATGACACAAAAACACTAATTATTTAAAAGGCTTTTTCACCGCAAATCGATAAATAAGTAGGAATTGCATTCTGGATGTGCTGTGCGCTGATGGCATGTCTGGACGACCAAAAGCACAGATATGCATATATAGGCACACATTTGCACATTCACTGACCAGTATCTCTGTCTGCATTTCATTGACACTAATATCCCATTAACTCCTAAAATCTTATTTTAATATTTTTATGACACTTTTGTTTCTCTTCTCTAAATAACAAACTAAACGTATCATTGAATTGAATGCCACAAATATAAGCATCACTTCAATTGTTTAAATTACTATTCATTTGTTGAATAAACGCTTTAATTCTCTCTATTAAAGCAGTGAATGGAGAAGAAGTCTTACGAGAAAAGGTTTATATTTTATTTTTTGGTTTTTTTCGTTGATTAGTTGAAGCATAGAATGGATAGAATGGCTATAATATGAATATAATATAAAGTTTGTGCAAATTTCTGGGCAACAAAACAAATGCCGGGAAAGTTTCGCACACTTTTATGCAATGCTATAAACATTGGGTCTAAATGGTAGGAACGGCTCCACTCTATCCACTGTATTATCACAAATGCATTAAAGTCTAAGAGGAGGCGACAGACTTGAGGCTATTTGATCGCTGCCTTTCAGACCATACAAAACAACTGCAGTCCTCTCCGCGCTCTCCTATACCTCTCTATACCTGATCCCAAGCCATACGTTGTTATCGACAGACTTGCCCTTCAAATCATTATTTCATTTCATACGTGCGTTCATTACAGTCGCGTAACACATGAAAAGCGCATCAAAAGATTCACAACATTTGCACAAAGAATTCTCATATAATAATGAATATAAAGAGAGAAAAATCTTTTAGGTTATGAAGAAAAATGATTTTCCAAACAAATCAAGAGAACAATCGACACATTTTCCCGATTCCTTCATAAAAGGCATTCATAAGCGAAACAATATATCCGCTGGACTTCAAGTGCCACAGCTTTTCACACATTTCTATACAGTTTTATAGTACAGACAGTTTGGAGGGCAACTCCGAAGTTCGGGTTACGCCACTCTCTCTCTCTCCCCATACCTATAGCCAGAGAAATCTGTTGCAAATGTTGAGTACCTGTTCAGGTAATCATAGGGTTCAATGCCTCGAATGGATGATTTCGTCTCTCTCTCTCTCTCTCTCTTCAAAAGCCATTTTGCAATTTGTGTTATCAGTCATAGGTCTCTATGCGGGCCGTGATTTCTATGCTGTAGGACCGGATCGACCACTGCTTGCNTCTCTCTCTCTCTCTCTCTCTCTCTCTCCGCTCTCTTTTATGTTTCGAGCAGTAATAGCCCTGCGCTTGAATTCCAATGGATGGTTAGCACAGGCAGGCAAGCAGTGGTCGATCCGGTCCTACAGCATAGAAATCACGGCCCGCATAGAGACCTATGACTGATAACACAAATTGCAAAATGGCTTTTGAAGAGAGAGAGAAAAACTTTTTTTCTGCTTTTAAAGTGACAATCAATGCCTTTCCGGACACGAAATTTTATGTGTGAACTGTCCTCTGCTCTCACTGTATGAACAGCAAAATTTTGGGCAAATCTTTATTATTATTAACACCAGACCTGAGAGACGATAACTTATTTGCCATCCCATCGACAACAGTCTCTCTTTCGCTGTGCGTTTGCTTTTGTATACCAATTATCACAATACAAGAGCTCCTTCTTTGTGTATGTCATCAATAATCCTATTAATGATATAATAAATGGCATCAATATTATCGTATCGATACGATTGCCCGCAAAAAGTTTATTATTTATATTTATTTTCGCAAATTCTTTCCATCGTTTAATTACTACTCGTTTTTATGGAAGAGAAATAAGTCTTTGAGACAAATATTTTATTTGAGAAATTATTTTTTGATGACAAGTGACTGCTCTTCATCTGTCGATGCGATGCACTTCTGATATCAAATTGTGAGACAAATTGAATCCAACGCTTCAATATGTGGGGACTCTTTGAACACTGTTTTCGTCAAAGTTTTATAACTTTTTCTAAATTAATTGTTGTAATTATATTGTGTATAATCGGTGCCAAACGCGCCAATTGTTGGTCCATTCAGGACACTATTACTGCCGCTTACACTTCAGATCAGATTGAGCTCAACTTTTCCATACCAGAAGGTGTACCCAATGGTACGCTCATAGGTATCATCAAATCATACAACGCTTCCGTCCATTTCCAGCCGCCATATCTCATAGTTCCCGTTCCCGGAGGTATAGACTATATTAATATTATATTGAATTGTATTGAAATTTAAACCTAAACTATCGATTCAGGTAATGGTGGAGGAGGTGTAGACTCTGATCTAGACATAGACCAGTCGACGGGTGAAATACGGACAGCCATCCCATTGGATCGGGAAGAGCGCAGTTACTACTCGTTCATTGCATTACCATTAAGTGGTGTCGTCATTAAAGTCACGATTGTATGCATTCATAGCTATAATTATATTTCACTTTAAATTTCATATAAAATTTATGGTTTTTAAACCCTTTTTATGTTGTTTTGTTGTTTCAGACAATTGAAGACATTAACGATAATTCGCCAAAATTTCCAACAAATGAAATCGATTTAGAATTTCCTGAAAATAGTAAACCCAGAGATGTTAAGCGGACACTACCGCCGGCCAGGGATCTAGATTTAGGTATGTCTTGCATTCACTAATTGTCAAGTATTTATTGTTCACTGAGTTTTTTTGGCCGACAAATTTCAGGCGATTTTGGGACTCAAAAGTATCGCATAGTATCGGGAAATGTCGGAAACGCTTTCCGGCTGTTAAGTCACAGGGAAAAGGATGACGTCCTGTATCTGGATCTTCAGGTGAACGGTCCTCTCGATAGGGAGACGACTGCCAACTATACTCTCGTGATTGAGGCTCTCGATGGCGGACAACCACAGCTCAGGGATGAGATGACTGTTAGGATTTCAATTGTAAGTCCAATCAATTTTATTGTCCTAATGAGTGGTAATAATCGCTATTTTTGTTGTAACAAAAGTTGGATCACAACGACTGCGAACCCGTGTTCAGTGAAAGTCATTATTACGGAAATGTGGCCGAAAATGTCACTTTGGGAACACCACTCTTGAGGGTTAAGGCGACCGACAATGATCAGGGAGACAATGGACTCATCACATATTCATTGCATAGTAAACCGCTATCAGGTTTGTCGCCGTATTTCGAGATCAACCGACACAACGGCTGGATATTTGTGGCCAAAGCACTGGATTTTGAGAGCAAAGAGATACACGAGTTGGTGGTCATCGCTAGAGATTCCGGCGCTCAGCCATTGGAGACGTCGGCGTTAGTGTCCATACGTGTGACGGATGTGAACGACAATCAGCCGACGTTTAGTCTACTCTTTCTAACGGAGAACGCGAGACAAGAAATACCCGAAAATGCAAAAATAGGTGATTTAGTGGCCAGGGTTTCGGTCAACGACGCCGACTCCAGTGACTTCTCCATCAACGCCAAGAATAAAGAAGATCACAATCGACTGTCAGTTTCTTTAACGGGAAATGACGACAGCTTTGGTCTCACCACTCAAGACAACGTTATATATCTAATTGTGGTGACCGGACCGCTCGACCGCGACATCAAATCCCAGTATAATCTGACAGTAATGGTCAGCGATCACGGCGTTCCTCCACTTAACAAGTCCTCGAGTTTCTTAGTCGATATCTTGGAACAGATCGAGACTACAGTAAAGCCAATCGATGCCAGAGATAGTGCGCCTGTCGTCACAATCCATACGTTGGACACATCGAGTGAAACCATTTACCACACCATTTCATTTTCCGGCGCATCCAATGCCACCACACAATCCGAAGACAGGGGAACGCAACCAATAGGCGCGACACCCAAATCGACAGTACTCTACCACGTGGTCAACGCCACATCGGTTCCCGGGGTGACAATTATGGGCGCCACCAGTAATTCTACGTGGAATTCCAGTGGCGGACCCTCAAACTCAACACTACTTTCGAGCACATTCTTGGGAACAGTTAACTCGCCATCGATTCCCAGTTGGATACTATTCTTAATAGTACTCCTGATGTTGACAACAGTTATATTGATGGCCAGTATTGTTGTCATATGTCTTAATCAACATCAGCAGCAAAAGCAGATAATGTCAGATCATATCAGACACATCGGACCTCACAGTATGGGCTCATTCATGCAGAGCATGGGATCGATGGTCGGAACAGATCCCAAAGATTTGACATATCATTCACATCACACACCGAATTACGGCTCAGCGCCACCGGCGCCGCCGCCCTGTTATAACGACCTGACACTGCCCTCCAACGCCGTCCTCAGCAGTTCAGCTGAAGGACACTCGGCCTCCAGCGGACGCGGATCTGTTGACGGCGACGAAGTGGAAGTCGATATGGACGACGTGGACGAAGAGGTTCGCATGATTAACGAATCGGGCAATTATTATCGCGACGACGACGACAGCGAAGTGACCACAACTGCCCTCTACTTCGCACGACTCGGTGTTATCAACCATAACGAAGAGGAACGGGAGGACACGTCCACCGCTGTAGACGACGAAGAGGAAGATTTAGTGTTGGATAAGATGGCAAACATTATCGATAGTTCGCTGAGTATTAACAGTATAATAGAGCAACAGAACCGAAACAACGCCCTAAACAATGGCACACAATCTTACGGCTCGTTGTCATCGATATTGCATTCAGAAGAAGAGTTAAGTGGTTCCTATAATTGGGATTACCTTCAAAACTGGGGCCCAAAGTATTTGCCATTGGCCTCAGTGTTCGCCGAAGTCGCCAGACTTAAGGCCTCCAATAGAGACGGCGAACAGATTGAAGGATCTATTAGAAGCACTTCCACGGCGTCGTCACAGAAGACGGCGAATCGCCATCACTTGTCGGTTCACTCGACACCGCCAACAATGACAACCCCTTCCATTAACAATGGTTTTCATTCACTGTCTCCGCGAAACTCCATTGGATTCACTAATGGCCTGAGTATTGGATCGCACGGAGAGCCAGACATTCAGTCGATTGAGGCTCAGATGGCCGTCGAGAGGGCGTCCACCAGAAGCTCATCGGCCGCTTCATCCCATCACACGTCACAAAACAGACATCATTTGGCCCTTCACTCCAACTCTAGTCGATACTCACATCCACTCAATATGTCTTCTAATAACAAGACAATAGCTTTTAGTAATGGTATGAGTATTGGCACACATGGAGGAGAATCAGAGCACCTGTCCGTTGAGACCCATATGCCGCTCGACAACGGGTCAGTCACCCGGAGCTCATCGGCCGCCTCTTCGCATAAGACAAACAACAGTAGACATCACATGCCGTTTCCAAACCATCGATTATCGCATTCCTCTTCCTCACCATTTGTGGTCACATCGATGTCTGGCTTCCAATCGCTATCACCGCTGAACTCATCGCCTAATATGGAAATAAATGACTTGAATAATGGTTTGCATATCGATGAAGAGATCACCATTTGATCCAAAGATGTGTTATATATATTTAAATAGACTTATAAAATAATTTATTGATTCAAAATATCATTGATTCGCATCTGATTTGCCATTTCATCAATAGTTCCTTCAAATCTCAACAAATAATTAGTGAAAAAAGTTATTTTGAATTACTTTTGTATAAAGAAATATATTTTCCTATAAATTGTTTTCATTGTCTAAATCTCACAAATAATTGTTTTTAAAAAAACTTAATATAATTATTAGATATATTTCTACGAAATATATGCAAAACAATTAAAATCAAAACATAGTTTTGAATTACAATTTAGTTTTTAAAATGTTATATAATTTTAAATGTAATTAAATTTCTTTTATATGTAGTCATAGACTAAAAGATAAAAAAGTTGTAAAGAAATTAAATAAAACTTTTTTTGCAAATAATAAGCAAATGTCTGTGTTTTTTGTAATCAACAAAATTGTGTCTAAGGCTAGAGTTATGCAATAATTATGGCAACGATTTTATACATGATTAAATAATAATCAAAATTGCAATCAATATACTATTCATGTATGTATTGTAATGACAATTAAGATGTTATGAAACAAATGCACTAAACTGTACATTAATTGTATTGTCAATAACCCTTTCATTCAAATCAATTGCCAACTATTTTGTGGTTATTTATACACATATTTTGTGGTTTTTCATTGGCTTTCATTCAATGCATTACTAAATACATTGAAATTCATTTTCTCGTTAATTGAATGCTATATTTGAAACTCATTTGCAAACCAAATATTTTTATCGCTTCTCTCTCTCTCTCTCTCTCTCCAAGTATTCAAACAAATGACACGATATTTACCACAAGTTTTGTGTCAAAACTTTTGGCGAAAACAAATCACTAAATAAATTGTTGCTAACCTTTCAATGCGTTATAAATTTACTTGAATTTATAGTTCAATGAAAAAATAGTTGGAAATCGACTTTAAATGCAAAAACAAAATCAATTCAATGATTAGGAAAAACACATTAAATGAATGGAAATGTCATATAAAATGCAATAAAATTATATTTCAACACAAAGTGATTGAAACATAAAAATACATTAAAAAGGATTAAAATTGAATTCTCTTCATATGAATGGGCAAAATGTGCGTCAAATAGCCGTATAGTGTACTCATGTTTAGTGTATCAGTCAATGAGACACTCATATTAGGGTTGAATGTTTGAAAGTTTGTAAACTATTATATAATACCTGTGTATCTGTTTGTTAACCTATGAGAGTGTAATAGTGGGCAAAATCTACAATACAATGGCATTAATGGGTTGAAAAGCAAATGAAAATATGATTTAAAAAACGAAATACTATTCATATGAATGCTATTAAAAGGTCTATAAATGCATTGACATTGAAATGCAAACTCAAAATACATACGAAATACATATGCATTGAAATGATTGCAGAGACAGTCAATGCAGTCATACGACACAAACACAGCGTATGACTGATACCGAGGCATACATTGACTCGTAGTGACAGCCAATCAGAGACCAGCGTTCAGTTCAACACTGCCTTTGACTGCGTTTTTGTGACCAAAGCCTATAAATAGGAGTGCATTGAGTGTTGAGTGCATTCATTGTGAGCCAACTCTTCAACAATACACTGAAACTCGTCTCAAACTAATCATACGTTTCATACGTTTTAATTTGAATTCAAATCTCGATTCCAATTAACGGTTTGTATTGATTTTGTACCACTTTTTGACCACTGATTGTCTCAATGAATGGATCAATTGGTTGGAGACATGTCTCGGACCGAGTGATCCACAATTGAGTGGTGTTTGGCCTCAGAGCCAACGCCCTGTCCTTATATGCCATCAATTGTTAACCATTTTGTCAATCATTTCATTTCAATAGCAATAAAATGCAAATCTTTGTGAAGACTTTGACGGGAAAGACGATCACTCTTGAGGTCGAGCCGTCGGACACCATCGAGAATGTGAAGGCCAAGATCCAGGATAAAGAGGGCATTCCTCCGGATCAGCAGAGACTCATCTTTGCGGGCAAACAGCTCGAAGACGGCCGCACTCTCTCTGACTATAACATCCAAAAGGAGTCGACCCTTCATCTGGTCCTTCGCCTGAGAGGAGGAATGCAGATCTTCGTGAAGACTTTGACCGGAAAGACCATCACTTTGGAAGTGGAGCCGTCGGACACCATTGAGAACGTGAAGGCGAAAATTCAGGACAAAGAAGGCATTCCTCCGGATCAGCAGCGCTTGATCTTCGCCGGCAAACAACTGGAAGACGGGCGCACTCTTTCCGATTACAATATCCAGAAGGAGTCAACCCTTCATTTGGTGTTACGATTGAGAGGAGGAATGCAGATCTTCGTCAAGACATTGACCGGTAAAACCATTACTCTTGAAGTCGAGCCCTCAGACACTATTGAGAACGTGAAGGCGAAGATTCAAGATAAAGAGGGCATTCCTCCGGATCAGCAGCGCTTGATCTTCGCTGGAAAGCAACTCGAAGACGGGCGCACTCTTTCCGATTACAATATCCAAAAGGAGTCGACTCTCCATCTGGTCCTTCGCCTGAGAGGAGGAATGCAGATCTTCGTGAAGACACTGACCGGTAAAACCATTACCCTTGAGGTCGAGCCCTCCGATACCATTGAGAACGTGAAGGCAAAAATTCAGGACAAAGAGGGCATTCCTCCGGATCAGCAGCGCTTGATCTTCGCCGGCAAACAGCTGGAAGACGGCCGCACTCTAAGTGATTACAACATTCAAAAGGAGTCGACCCTTCATCTGGTCCTTCGCCTGAGAGGAGGAATGCAGATATTTGTAAAGACTTTGACCGGAAAGACTATCACTTTGGAAGTGGAGCCGTCGGACACCATTGAGAATGTGAAAGCCAAGATCCAGGACAAAGAAGGCATTCCTCCGGATCAGCAGCGCTTGATCTTCGCGGGCAAACAACTGGAAGACGGGCGCACTCTCTCCGACTACAACATCCAGAAGGAGTCGACTTTGCATTTGGTGTTGCGATTGAGAGGAGGAATGCAATGAAGGCTTGTTTCCCAACATTGAAGTCATTTGCCATAAAAATTGGCCAAAAATTCTGATTTGAAATTGTTTTTTGAAAAAATCCTAAATTTTTGTATTAGTTTTCAATTTTTTATTCATTTGAAATGTATTCCAAAATTTGTTTTCTTTGATTAAACTTAGAATTAATAGCATTAAACATGTCTTGTATTTCTATTCAAACATTTTAATATACGGTCAGAGACTTAAGTACTGGAAGAGTGCCTCAAAAGTGACACATACTGTGTATCTGTGAAGTAGAGTAACAATTGAATGATTAAGACAGATGGTATTCAAACATTTTATTACTAATTCAGACATCTGTTGACCAAAACAGTAAATGAAGGATCAATTGTCAGACATTTGCTTACAATTAATAATCGATTAATTATTTAAAATACAAATATATATAAAATTAGTTGTCGTTTAAAATCATCAATTGTTTTGTTTGCTTTTCGGGACATTAATGCAGAGAATCTCGTAGTCTTTGTCCGGCATTTGGCACCGACTCGGAGACGATCTGTCGATACGATATTTCAACGCTTTTGTATAGAAATTCATAGCGTTTTCGTTGCATTTAAATACAGTTAACATCACTTTATGGGCGCCGAAGTGGGAGCCGATGTCACGCAACACTGCCATCAGATATCGGCCCACACCTGACCGCTGATGACTGGACACGACCTGCAGTTCATAGCAATAGACGGCAAACTCCGAGTCATTGCCGCCCGACTCGAAGCGCAAGTGAGTGAACGCAACCCAAGGCTTGTCCTCCGAGTCCAGAGACCGGACCACCAAATGGCGAGCCGTCGGGTGTCGTAACTCCTTCTCCTTCTGCGACCGATTCCAACCGCAAACCGACGACTCGTAATACGTCTTCATATTCTCTTCCGTCAACGATATCATCCACTGTTGACAGTCTTCGTCCAATTGGTCCCAACGGTGACAACTGAGCTCCAGTTTGTGGCCATCGGTGGTCACAAACGTGTGAGCGCTCGCCTCCAACCGAAGTAACAGATTATCGCACGCATTGGCCACTGATATGAGCGCTTTGGCCCGACAGCCCTTTCCTCCGTTCATTGTCTTAGACATGATCGACGATCTGATCCAATGGTGATCTTCAATGTCGGCTCAAACAACACTTATTGTTATTATTGTCTGTATTTAGCGCTCAAAACACAAACAATATATTGTGTTGTGTCGTGTCGTGAGAGCGCATGCGTTCACACATCAAACCAATGCCTTTTTGGCACAAAATTCAAACACTCGTTAAACACATGAAAAAGTTGTGAAAATTTAATTGAATTAATGAAAAAAATTACAGTAAATATAGTCAACATTTAATGGCATGTCTTGTGAACACAATTAACATTAATTTTCAATAACTATTTTTATATATATATATATTTTGTATGTAAAAAGTAATACAAAAATAATATGCGATCAGAGATGCGATGGCAGTCTTGTGGTCAGTAATAATCGTCCGGAATATACATATTCTTCCGGAATATTCTATACACTTATATATAATATATTTGTTTGTATAATTAGTAAAATACAAATTCTGTTCACATTATTCCTAAACATAACATAACATATCATTCAATCATATATTTTATATAAATTGATACAAATTTGTTGTGATTCTTGTTTTTTCTCAATAAAAAATGAAATAAAAAGTTATACAGTATTTGTGTTCCGCTTTAAGAATACATTTAATATATAAATTTAATTTAATTTTTGAGTTCTGTTTTTCAGTCAGAATACCAGTAAATGTTTGGCACAATAAAAAACAGACAAATATTAATCCAAAACTTTTTCTCTCTTCAAAAACAATCTCAATAATAGTCAAAATAATATTAATAATAATTATATCGTATATCATATATATATTAACAAACGATGTGAACAATCAAAGTATGGACTCGGAGTCGGGTTTCGGTGCGTTCTCTTCGTTGGCGTTGTTATCATTCTTGTTGTGATTATTGGTGACCATNTTGACATTTATGTTCACATTTTTCAGTTTATATATTCAAAATGTAAATGTCTTGCGCCGAACGTGACGGCCAAGAATGGGTCGTGTCCTCTAGAGTGCAATAACCTCGTCTGGTATATCGTTATCTTTTCGTTCTTTGTCTTAATTCACTCGACATCAGAGGTCGGATCGATGTTACTTACGCTCAGGTATGAAAGCAATGTCTTAATATTTAGTCTATTTCTCACTTATTTTTAATTATAATAAGTATCAATTGATTGTCTAAACTTTGCATTTGTTTAATTGATTGCCAGATGCGTTGACCCACAGGACAAAGCCATGGCATTGGGTCTAATATCGTTCGCTATCGGTCTCTTCGGTAAGCGTTGAATGCATACAAAAGTTTGGTGTTAAATAATGATGATAACTGTGATTCACTGTAGGTAACGTTCCCTGTCCTATAATATACGGGGCAGTAGTGGACAGCGCGTGTCTGTTTTGGGAGGGAGACTGTGGTAAACGGGGCGCGTGTCGTGTCTACGATCCGGTTAAGTTTCGGCTCGTGTTTCACGGCGTGACCGCTCTTATAATGTTTGCCGCTTTCATTGTGGACGCAATCGTCTGGTATAAGGCGCCAGAGATTCAGTTCAACGATGACATTAAGCCATCGATGGTCACCAATAATCACAACAAGAATGATAACAACGCCAACGAAGAGAACGCACCGAAACCCGACTCCGAGTCCATACTTTGATTGTTCACATCGTTTGTTAATATATATATGATATACAATATAATTATTATTAATATTATTTTGACTATTATTGAGATTGTTTTTGAAGAGAGAAAAAGTTTTGGATTAATATTTGTCTGTTTTTTATTGTGCCAAACATTTACTGGTATTCTGACTGAAAAACAGAACTCAAAAATTAAATTAAATTTATATATTAAATGTATTCTTAAAGCGGAACACAAATACTGTATAACTTTTTATTTCATTTTTTATTGAGAAAAAACAAGAATCACAACAAATTTGTATCAATTTATATAAAATATATGATTGAATGATATGTTATGTTATGTTTAGGAATAATGTGAACAGAATTTGTATTTTACTAATTATACAAACAAATATATTATATATAAGTGTATAGAATATTCCGGAAGAATATGTATATTCCGGACGATTATTACTGACCACAAGACTGCCATCGCATCTCTGATCGCATATTATTTTTGTATTACTTTTTACATACAAAATATATATATATATAAAAATAGTTATTGAAAATTAATGTTAATTGTGTTCACAAGACATGCCATTAAATGTTGACTATATTTACTGTAATTTTTTTCATTAATTCAATTAAATTTTCACAACTTTTTCATGTGTTTAACGAGTGTTTGAATTTTGTGCC